AGGAAGTCATCATAATAAACAAGAATTGGCTGCATAACTTTTTTTCCCCCCTCCTCCAGCATCTGCTAAGGTGGAGGTGGTGTTCTCGCTGCACACTGCTCGCTGTGTGTGTGAGCCAGGACCGCTGTGATCGTAGGGTTGTAGCCTCTCAGGGTCTCCTTCACCTTGGGCAGAAGTGACTGCGCGCGGCAGCGGGAGGTCACTGCTACCTAAACGGTGCTTTGAAGCTAAAAAAGACCAAACTGTAATTAGGGCCCGCTCGCAGCATTTACTTTCCCCAGCCCTAATTGGGTTGAAAGCAGGAAATTGTACAAATCTCCAAAGTGTGTGCTCCTGCCCCCAGCAATCCGCCCAGGGACCAGTCAGTAGCAGGAGACCTCTGCCTCAGGAGCGGTCTTTGCCTCTCATTTTCATGGAACAAAACATTTGCCAACCTTATTTGATGTGTAAAATGCTCTTTATGTTTTCGCAGGAAAAAGAACTGGAAAACCTGGCTGCTATGGATTTGGAGTTGCAGAAAATAGCTGAGAAGTTTAATGACAACAGGAGAGGCTGAAGTTGATCTGCTTTGGCGTTTCAAAGCTAGGTGTAGCCGTACTCCCAATGCCTGTATTTTGTGGTAAATTCACTGCCACTGGATTGTTGTTTGCCCAAAAACAGGAAATTCTACTTACTGTCCACTATAGTGTAGTGATCTAGACAGCTGAAGATGTCTTTAATTTGCTGTTATGCTATTGGGATCTGAATAGCATGAATTTTGTATTATAACCTTTCACGCAAGGCAGATATTTTTAATATGCTTGTGAAAATAATTGTGTTTGTGTTCTTCAGAAATACATTTGCCTGAGTTTGAAATAATAAAAACCGTTGATCTTGGACCAAACTTTCTCCTTGCTTATCTGAGTGACTGGCTTATTGCCAAGTAAGCTGTATCAGGTGGATGGACTGTGGACAAAATGTTCACCTGCGGTTCATCGGTATTTTTTTAAGTTACGAGGAGCCTATCTGTGCCTTTGATTTGGCAGTTAGCAGGAGCCTGGCGTGGTAAGAAGGAATGCCAGTTAGTTTGCTCCGGTAACCCAGAAACACCCTGTGAATGATTTAGTTCTGGAAACGAGTCCTTAAAGAAGCAAAGAGCTTGCAACACCGAATGGACGCTTCATTTGGAAACCACGCGGCGCTTCAGAAGCAGTGCGTTACGCGGTGGATTGGTTTTGCCAATTAATTTAGTCTGAGTAAGTCTCAGTCCCATTGAATTTAATCGCCGAGCGGCCGTTCCTTGCTAAGGTGTTTTGTGCTTACTGCAGGCGGGCAGGCAGGGTGGTGAGCGCCGCTGCGGAGCCTGCGCCGCACCGGCGTGCTGCTCACCTTGCACGAGGAGTTTCTCGGCGGGCGCGGGGCAGGACGGGCTCCGGGTCACAAACCGTACGATGCCCTACGTCAGCGGTGTGTGGGAGGAGCCCCTGGGTAATTTTACCACACTACGAAGCAGTGAAAGGAATGCTCCTGTCATTGGTTTCAACTACTGCCGGTATCTGGGGTTCAGTTGAACTGAACTGAGCCAAACGTGGTTTTTACAGACTGTTTTACTGCTGTGACAGTGTCTTCGGTTACTCGTGTCAACACCACGCAAAGAGGCGCTGTACAAAATTCAGCTGAAGCACGTTACCAGTAAATGTGCAGCATCTGTCATCTCAGCCGAACCCATTTAATCCACAGACGTACTCTCCAGTTAAGGCAGTAAAATATTCGGTGCGCTACTGATCCCCGCACTGTGTGAGCACGTCTGGGGCTCGGGCTGTCGGGAGAACCTCTCAAATGTTTCATCTTGTTCAGTTCAGGTACGCGAAGGTCGAATCCTGGCTCAAAGAAGTTGACAGAATTTTTACTTCAGTAGGACCATGGTTTCGCCAGGCTTCTCCAGCAACAGTGAGGAAAGTGAGAGTGTCCCAGCTGCAGAAATACTTTGCTGCCTTCAAATTCTGAGACTCTCCCTTTTAAAATTTACAATGCCATACAAGAAGTATTGCAGCACAGTACGTTCTTCCCCCAGCCTGCGTGAGGGAAAGCCCATCTGTGAGTCTGTAAATACCTAGAAGCAAAAAGCTTTAGTTGCAGCACAGGAAACTTCCTAAATTGCTCAAAAATGCAAATCAAGTAATAGTATATATATTTTTTGTTGTTGTTTTTTAAAGCTACACTTATGCAAACACACAGTCACGAATCAGCAATGCTTTGCTTAAAACCCTGTCCCCTGAAAGACTTTAAAAAATCAAATAGCATTCAGCAGCTTCCCAGAGCTTTGTGACAGCCCTTTCGGCTGCCGCCCTCCTGCGCGCGGCTCTGCGGGGCTGACGCCACGAGCACCGAGCGCCGAGCTGCTGTTTTGACTGCTCCTGCCTCTGCCATTTTTAGCTACACATTTGCATTACGTCTGTTCCAAGAATTTTTTTTTTTTTTTTTAAATCAGCCCTCCACTACAATTTACATTAATTTGCATTAGTTAAAGGCAAATTGCATGCTTCTGGCATTGAAGCTAGGTGGTACGGCTTACACCGACTATTGGTATGTGACGATGCGTAACCTTGTTCCAAGCAATCAAATGAAGCAGAAATTGGGGTTTTGGCTTCTGAAAAAGCCTTGTCTTGCTTCTGACTCGTGCACCCCAGCGCAATGGTAAAATCTTTTTAGTAAAGCTAAAAGACTTTACTAAAAGACAGGAACGGAAAGCTTGGCAACTAGTTCTTTCTTCTTCTCTGCTATTTTTATCCTGCTTACGGAGTGAAGGCAGGTGGATGTTCTCTCTGTGACCGAAGCGAGGTACGGAGTCTCCTCGGGCGCTGCCATGTCTCCGCTGGCCCCGGCCCTGCCGGACGGCCGCAGGCGGTTTCGGCCGTGGAGGCTCCAGCAGTTGAGAGATCGGGCGCTGCCGGAGGAAGGGCTGAAGCTCCTCTGAGGGGCGAGAAGCACTTGGCACCTCCTCCATCCCCCTCCTTGGGCAGAGAGCTCAAGCTTGGATGAGAACTTCAGGAGACACGGAGCGCACGCATTTTTTTTTTAATTTTTTTTGTTGCCAGAAACGATGTGAAGGCAGCCAGAGTTGGGCTCTGGTGCCTGGAACCACAGCAGAGACGGTGGCGCAGCGCCGGTCGGGCGCCTGCGTGCCGGGGGCTGGCTCCTCACACCGCCCACCCGAGCCAAGTTCCTTTTCTCCACAGCGTTGACCAAAATTACACAATACCAAGTTGTCGTGTTTTATATTTGCAGAGATAAAAGCCCTTGGCCCTTCTGCCTTGAGGCTCCGGTGATGACCAGGCTCCTGAGCTACGCTTTGTGGAGACTAAATTGAAACATCAATAATTGTAAATATTTTCCATGAATTTTTTGTTGGTTTCTTCCTATCTCCCATTGGTGCAAGCGTTACGGCACATTTCAAAACGGGGGAGAGGATTCAGCGCCGAGAGCATTAATGCTGCTGAAATGAAGCCAGTTTGGCTTTGATCTAAAGTAGTTTTTCAGGTGTTCTGATACTGTTTATTTCTCACAGCTGTTTTTTTTTTAGTATACAAATAAACCAGATTTTTTTTCAGGTTACTACTTTTAGCACATTAAATATAATAAAAAGCAGGATTCAATACATACGTTGGTTGTTTAACCAAACTTTTACTGTGTAAATTTTTACACCTTTGCAGTGCACGAGAGCCGTGTACCTCCCAGCTCCATGGCAGTGGCAGAGCCGCACCTATGCCTGCTTTCCAGGTAAGAAAACCGAGGCAAAAGGCAGTTTTTTCAGTATTGATCTCGTGGTTTACACCGATTTTTGTAATTTTCTTGCCTTGCACTAGCTTCCTACCCATTGCTCTAAGCCAGGCTATCTCAGAATTTCATCACGTACTGGGTGTTGGCTGCTTTCAAAGTCCCAGTTTATCCTAGTTTACCTTCAGTATCCAGGTGCAGGCATATAGTAATGGAAACCCCATCTTCCCTTCGCACCTTTTCCCTGTGAGTTCTTGAAAGAAGCTGAGAAACCCAGAATTATAAGAAAAAATAGTAACTTTGTATAAACCACACATGGCCTTTCTATTCCCTATATGTGTGATTTGCAACACTTACCCTGTATGGAAAGGCAAGGAGGGCAAAGCATATTTTTCAGATCCACTTAACTGGGGGAATAGAGACTGTGAAACCTACAATCTCTCCATTTAGGAGTTTTTCATATAACGAGGAGAAGAAAAGAAAAGCTTTCCATAAAAATAGAAAAAAAAACCCCACCCAACCCCAACATGGGAAGTTTAGAAAAAACTGGAACAGAGGTAGACAAAAACCTGAAGGTATAGTGTATCTGTTCACTAAAAGAAATGTTCAAATCTTCTGCTGCTTCTTTCAACAAAATAGAGCCCCCGTTTTGTTCTGAGCTAATGGTTTCCTAAAAGAGCATTACTCTTATCAGTATACAGAATTTTACAGCTTTATGAAGTCTGATTACTTGATCCCAAAGCTCCAGATTCCCCTGATGAGCAAGTTCAAGAACAGAAGCCAAGTCCTGCTGGCTCTACGGGCTCCCATCTGGGCCTAAAGCTCCCCACGGTGGGTTCCACGGGGTGCAGCCAGCAAGGGTGTTCTCCTCCTAAAGCCCCTGCTAGAACTTTTTATTTCCAAAAAGAGGGAAAAGTAAGAAGAATAATCTCATTAGGAAAAACATCCTGCAGTTTAATCGAAATGGCAAATGCAAAATTTAAAAAAATAAAAAAGCTACACATCATGAAAGAGAAATAGTAGAATAAATATATATACATGTAGCAGTTTTCAAAATAGTCGTATCTTAAAATAAAAACATGTAACAAGTCTCAGGAAAATGACAGACAATACTAATAGAGACATTCTGTTTAAATATTTGGTATTTTAATTTATGAACATGCACTTTCTCTTCTGGATTTCAGGAAAACATGGGTCATGCTGTAAAGTTCTGGTATTAGTATTCTCTATTGTTCTTCTGAAAGAAAAGTGTAGCATTTTTGCAGTTCATTCCACTTCCTCACGTTACTAAACGTGGCTGGGTTCGGTGTCCAAATAAGGAGCAGATCACCACGTAGGATGTTTCACCCTGATGCTGCTCTGAGAGAACGGGAAGCTAAGTTAGATGTCTTGATTTGGGCTCGACCTTTAAAAAGATGCCTTCGTCATATCCACTTCTGGCAACAAGCAATCAGAATGATGCTTCCTCTTCTTCTGAAGTCAGTGCGTTTTCAGGGGGATTTTTGCTTCCAAGGGTTTTTCTTATTCTGATCATGGAAACTGGTTCAGAGTGAGACAATCCTTCCTACCACACAGTTCTGCTGCTTTTTGCTGACAGGTGTGTGACAGGTACAATTTCTGTGCTGTCAAGAGCACAGAAAGTATACTTGTTGTTTTACTAACAGTAAGACTCCTGAGATCTAAAAATCAAAGCAATTCTTCAAATGTTAACAAGGAAGGTCTTGAACTTTGCATCTTTTAGTTGACGGCTCTTCATCTTCAGCGCTTCTAAATTACTGGAATCAGATTTGCCCTTATCCAAGACAACAGTTGTACCAGATAGAAGGTACCCTCCACCTCCACTCATCGTCAGCTTTGGATGGCTTCGATCCGGTAAGACCTTTTAAAAAATCAAAACCCAAAACAAACCAAACCAAACTCTAAGTGTCTGTAAAAACTCACTCGCTACGTGCGCATCAAATTGTGTAATTTAAACTTACAGTATAAGATGTAATTTTTTTTTTTTTTTCCAGCCACCACAACAAACAGACATTTGGAAAGTGTATTTATCTTTAAAGGGCAAAGTATCTGCATACCAGAAACTGGTTATAGAGATATGTAAGAATATAGGCTACTGCCCTATTGATTAGCTCTTCATGGCATTTCCAGCAAAATTATGAAGTCAAGGTTTGGGATGCATGAAAGCCTCATTAATGTGTTCAGAACTGGTGTGCTCTGCAAGAAACCACCGTTGGTCTAACAAAACAGTGAGGAGTAATACAGTAATTTCCACTTTTGTCACTGTAATCTTTATGGAGCTACCCTAAGGTAAGATGCAGCAATGCACCATCACTTTCAGCTACGACATACTTTTCTGTAAATGCTTTCTCTTCAGTTACACTTCCTCCTTGCTAGGACTGCCACCATGGCTCTAAGTTAATTTTCCTGCACCCAGGAGATGTGGCAGTACTGGTCCTAACTGCACCTGGACACAGTGACCTGCACCAAGCCCAACCTGTGTGAACATCTTCATCTATGAATCTCCTATCATTCCCGGTTTGGGTGCCTGATCAATAGGCAGTGGTCGTGGCCACCCTTGAATTAAGTCCTGCCCTAAATAATAATTCCTTACGCACTCCAGAAGCCTACAGGCAAGGAGAAAGTCAGTAAAATGCAAGAACCTCTTCAGAGGTGGTGAGCTGCTTAGAGATCAGACACGCTTCTGCTTCTTCATAGCTGAGAGGGTGCTGCACATTTGCAAACATCTTGCTCAAAGTTACTTGCACTGACGTTTTTCACTGTGGAGATGTTTTCCCCTCTCATCTTGTTTTTATTGGGCAGTTCCCAGACCGGAAAATTCTTGTTACTTTAGTTCCAGGAAACGTGTTATCTGAAGACACTGACTTTCTAAGTCACCAGCATTCTTAACATCACCTTTTTTTTTTTTTTTTTTCAGCTATCAAACCAACTGGAAACGAATAAACTCTAGTAATATCTTGCTACATCTCTCTTACATGACACTGAGTTGTCCCTCACTTTAGGCTAGCCACTAAAGCAGCACAACTATTAAATCTGTCAGTGTGCTACAACTATTTCAGCAAATGTTTAACTGAAATGCTTTGTAAGAAAAAAATTAATGTATTTCCACTTGAAAATGTTGCAATGAAGCATTATAGCTCTTCAGAATATTTCCCCACTGCTCTCAGGTAAAAACAAATGCATGACACTATACCTAGTTTCAGTCAGTGCAAAAAACTACCTTCAGACTGTTTTGCTCCCCAGTATTTGTGCAGTTTTGACAATCGCTTACTGTAATCCTTACCTGGTAGTTTCGTAGCCAGGTTTCAGACAGCTTTAGGTTAATAACACCGCCTCGTTCCCTCAGCTTTGTGTAACATTCTAATAATGGCTTAAAAAAATGCAAATAGTAGGTTATACAGCAGAACATTCTCAAACTTGAACTATAACAGCTAAGGTGACATACTGGATTTACCTCTTTATACTGGCAGTAGACAACAAAAGGCCTTGAAGGAGCAACAAATTCCAGTAAAGAAAGTAATAAAGGAGTGGGATGAAACTTGCTGGCTACAATTAAGCTGCAAAAGAAATTTCACACACGTTACTTTTCTGCCTTCCAAAACCTATTAATCAAGTGACATTTTCTCCTACTTAGCACAGCAATCAACTATAGTCTAAGTGTTGCTAATCAGCCTGTTTTCATGGCTCTAACAACTCCCCAAGTATAAAAACAAATCAGGATTTCCTACTTGCATAATTAAGAGGATAAAGCCCTTGTTCCCTGAAGTGCAGTATATTAAACGCTCTGCAGCAGCACTCATTCCAGCTGTGCTGAGCTCCACAATAATTCTTATGACCTGAGAATCTGCATGCTGCTTTCTCTGCCCTAAGACCATTGTCTAAACATAATTTAAATTTTGTGACTGCTAGTAGTTGCTTAGAATGTAAGCTCAGTTGTGATTCTTTAGACTGGTAAGCTTCATTAAATACAGTTTTAGATAAAAAAAGTTGTTATTTAAAGAGAAAACAATCTAATGGGCATGACTAAAAATATTAAAAGAAGAAATTACGACCTTGCCAACTTAACGGCTTCATATTTTATTCTTTATCCTCATTTTAGTATCATTTCATAATTCGTATTTATGGATGTTTAAGATTCTCTACTGGTATGTAGAGTTTTTATCCAAAAACCCCCCCCCAAAAAATTACTGCTAAAGTATACTGCAAGAAATGGTTAAGATTCAGTAAGTTCATAAGTTGTACTTCTGCATAAAGAATGGACTAATTACAATTAAACTACTACTCTAGCATACAGTTACTATATGAAAAGACCCATCAATTAATTAACATTTGTCCTCCAGGGGAATGTACAGCACTGGAGATACCATCAAATTTACTTAACAAAAGGGAGGTAAAAATTGACGTTCAATTTTCTAAACACAATGGAAAGAAGGGGATGAGACAATTCTTTTACAGTTGTTTCCACTTCAGTTTTTTTTGCTGGCCATGGCCTTGCAGGCTACAGATTTAACCCTAGTTCCAACCTTCAAAAAGTTTGCGCTCACTAATTAACCAAGTGGACCACAAGGAAAAAAGACTCCAGCCCGTGGCTCAGCAGGCCTGGAGCGCTGCACTGACGCTGCCAGGAGCTCTGCCAGACAACAGGAAGGTAAGTGAGAGATGAGAGAGACTGAAAAATCCATTTCTGTTCTCTCATATGGCAGCACATATTGCTGTCAGCAGGCAGGCTGGCCAGTTGCAGTTAATGTAACGGCTGAGAGGGAAGAAGGAAGAGGAGGAAGGGCAGAGGAAGGTAGAGAGAGGGGGGGCAGTCTAATTCTGAACCCATGGAGTGTCTATAAACCCACGGCTGCTTTCATTGTATCAGAAAAGTGTAATAGTCTATCTTGAAAAAGTTGTCTTTAGAAGAAGACTGAATCTCTAATGAGTGTCTTCCTTTTTCACCCCCTCAAAGACCTAGGACAGAATTCAACTCTCATAAATGGAATTGAACAAATAGGTGTACCAGAAGGACTGTTTTACCACATAACAGCACAGAAGACATAATTTTATTTAAAATTATCTTCTACATTAAGTAGTAAATACTGTAAAAATTCAGGACCTCACGAAGTAACTGTCCTAAATTTGGTGCCCATCTTTACGTAACGACCAGTTTTTCTTTACCCTGACGGTAAGTCCTAATCTCTCTCCCCACCTCCAGTGTTAACTGGCTTTTACTTACCCTTTCCCCATTTCTCCCTTGCAAACCAAACCAAACCAAACCCCTATCTCACCTGCCTGCTGCTTCTCACCTGCCAAGTTGTTCATCTGAAGCACTTCTTTATTCCATGCCAATTTTTCCTGGTTTTGCAGTGTATGTACCCTGTGCTTCCTGACCTAAACAACCGGTCAGCTATAAAAGATTCCTAAAGAGAGGGGATCCTGACTGAGCAATCGGGGACGATGCCTTCAGGCAACCATAAACTTCTCTTCCCCCCATGGTGCTGAAGACTTCCTAAAGCAAGAAATCACTCATCCCTTCAAGTATATAATTTGTTACAGCTTTCATGCATCACAAAGGACAAGAGAAGTATACAAGTGATTGAAAGCAAGCGAACAAGAGACCAATACTCATTAGGCTTCCTTCAACTCAATCAACAACTGAATAGACTGTTTTACACTACAGGAAGAATCAAGTGAAGTCAAATATTAGTTTTCCCTTTGCCAGACAGTGCACAGACATTAATTATGACGACGGGTGCTGGGGACAGCAGTAGAACCGTAACGAAACACGGCCACTGTGCAGGCAGCTTAATGGTCATCCCCTGGCATCGCCAGTGGCGTTGCTGCTGCCACTCAGATGTGCAGTGCTTCCACGAGCCTCCCTGAACATTTTATTGCTTCAGAGGACATGGGATGACCTGTCTCTGCATATACAGAGAAAAGGCTAATTCTACCACTCAAATGTGCTAGGCGAGTTAAAACATTTTGTAATAATAAAAACAAAAATTATACACGAGCATATAAACATCACCAGTAAATGTGTGTTAAAATATATCCAAGCAGAGCGGCTTTATTCCCAGTGAGCCAATATTTTTATGAGGAAGAAATGAATATGAATGTTATTAAATTAACTAAATCAATGTTACTTGATTAATTCAAGTCACTTCAGCATTTGCTAAGAACATTATGAAAAAGTCACAACCTCCAAGTGCTCTCACACTATTGTGGGGCTGAATTTCTGGGAATGTATTTGCCGTCTTTGTTTTAAATTTCTGATACTAAATCTTTATGTTAAATTGATCCTTGGGAACAATCGATCCTGACTAAAGCAGGTAAAATGAAGTTACGTGCTTCTTCCTGTGTAAAAAATAAGTGAGTTTTCTGAAAACAAACCAAGTAATCGAAGCCCAAACCAACAAGATTAGTTCCAGTTTTACAAACTTAAAACCTCCGGTTCTACTTTGCCAATTAGAACAGTGTGATTTTTAGCAGCAGTCATTTTGATTAAGTTCTACTTGGATTGTGTTTCTCTGGATAGATTTTTTTTTTGTTGTTATGTTTATGCATAGCTAGTCAGGAAACGATGACTTTTAAATCATGAAATTTCCAACCATTTAAATAACAAAAAATCTCAACCAGGTAAGAACCAAACATGACCCAAGACACACCTGGGTTGACTGCTTGCCTGTAATTATTAAAAAAATATAAGAAAAGGGCATTTTTAAAACAAAGCTTTTATTTGTTTCAAAGGAAATAATTTTCTGTAGATGCGTTTTCAAACAGAAGACCTTTCAGACTACAAACTCACCCATCAGCATTCTTCTCTCTCAACAAAGCAGCAGTTTCTATTAGCTTTTTCCTTCTCTCCCATTGTTTTCTTTGCTTTTCCCGAACCTTTGAACAACAAAACAAATAATTTGCACTTTAACTGGTAATTCTATATGGATCCTTATTGCACGGACTGAATTTTCATTTTTGCATCTTAGCTGGCTTAATGTAAGACAAAAGACCACTTCCACAGTTCCACTCTAACACCTGAAGGAGATGTATGTCAGCATGTCTAATTCAGCCAGCAGAATTTCAAGCATATAGACATTGTAAAACTTGAATAGCCACAATAAATATTCTTACATTTTCCTTTTCTTTTTCTTTGTTCTCTTTAAAGTCTACATCTTCAGCATTAATGTCCATCGTTTCTTGCTCTTCTGTTTGGTTGATCTCCATAGGTGCTTCAGTAGCAGATTCCTCTTCTGTTTCCTGTAGGGAAGTCTGCTTCTCATCACCCAATCCATTGCTTTCTTGTTCCACTAGCGTGTTATCTTCAGGTTCTGAAGGCAGAGTCTCTGTAGAAAATGTCCCAGAGAGGAGACTATCCACTTTGCTGAGAGGAAATTCATGAAGATTATCGAAAAAAAGGTTTTGGAAATCCAAAACAACTGGTAGCAGCTCTAACAGGTCCCCCTCCTGGATACATCTGAATAATGGATCCATAGCCTATGAGAGCAAAAGAATCAAAACCACTGGAAAGCCAGGCTTTCTGGGACCAATGAAGCATACCTTTATGAATAGGTAAGTAAGTTGCCTGCTCTTAATCTAGCCTTCATCAAATTTAACAGGCTGCTGAACTACGCCTCAGGGTGGAAAATCTTTATTGGAAGGACAACAGTTACTGCAACTCAGAAGGACAAGGTAACTCAAAGATTATGCCTGTACGAAACATGTATTTAGGATGAGCACAAAATGTGTAAGTAATGACAAATACTGAGAAAAGATAATTTAATTAAGAATTTAAAATACAGATTTTCTACACTATTTCTTACTTAGCACTAGGGAGCGGTTTTGATAATAATAAATAAAAGCTAATTTCAGCTGCATTAATAGGCAGAGAATTTCTTCAACATCCAGACTGCCCCTCTGCAGAGATGCCAGATGTTTAAACATACTAAAAAGAACTTGCAGTAGTTATACTGGAATTGCATCCTATTTAATTTACTTCAGAAAGTATCCCTATGGCCAAAAGTTGCTGAAACGAATAACTGATTTGTAGTGTAACTGCCTGTGTGCTTCTCGGCCAGCGCACAGCACATCAGGGCGTGCAGTATTACATCACACTTTCTACTTTTCCAGGATTCTGGGATATAATTGTCACCTCTGTCTAGTGCGTTTGACTTACAATAAAACTAATTAACTGAGTTTGAGAAAGAAGAACCAAGTTGAACTTCTAGAATGTGCTCAAGAAAATGTCATATACTACTTTTAAAATACACATTTTGCAGCTGGCACAGTGAATGAGGGGAATGACGGTATCTTCAGTGCTGTGGGCTGTCTGGATTCCAGTCTTACCAGTCCTGGTTTCTGCTGTTCCTTTTCTTGGACTTCCCAGGCGCCTGGGAAGAATCTGCATACAAGCTCCTTACAGCCTTTTCTGAGCACAGAGTCATGATGCCAAGACAGAAACTAATATACATCTACATACAGTGGTATCAACTTCAAATTTCATGGGTTTTTTAAATAGCAAAAAATAAATCCAACTGAAATATGCAAAATGCAACTTTCTCCAGTGGAAAACCAAGTATCTCTCTGAATACTGGAGACATCAAAAGTAGATTTTAAAAACTGAGACAGTATTTTGAAGTACTGCCTTTTAAAAGTATCACAACAATGCCTACTTCTTAAGTCTCAAGGAAGCCCTCAGTCTGTACATTACTAAAGCTACTGTGTTGTTACTGACCTCCCATTCGCTCCATCACCGCGCCCAGCACAAGGCCTGCACATGTTTCCATTACAATCATCTTGTTGCCAGCACGGATGTTTCCTAAAGTCAACATCTGAGCTAGGGTGTCATATCGCAAGTGGCTAGAAGACAGAAGGTTTTAAGAAATACCAAATTAGTTTTCTTGGAGTTAGACATGCTGCGTATCAGCTGAGGAGCCTGCCAAAAAAAGTTGGATTACTGGTAGATTTTCAGGAACAGCATCAGTGGTCTTCAGAGTCACCATGGGGAAACTTGTAATTAACCATCTGGTAATAAAGAAGGACTAGAACCAAAGCCAACAAGCAGGGAACACGTATTTAGGTTTACAAAGAAAATAGCAAAAGTAGGATATGAAGTAGGGTGCACATAATAAAGCACACATCCCATGCCAAGCCAGTCAAAGTAATTTTTAAACTTATCTTTTTGTTTGTTTGTTTACTCTGACATGTGAGTTTTGTAAAGAATAAATGGTATTTGTATGCATTTCCTAATCCAGTAATGTACCCTGAGTGATTTTCATCTGTTTCGCAGTTGCAGGCACCACCTGCAATCCAGGATCAAACCCCAACTCTACTGACAGCAGCACCTGCACTGAAGAGACTCCCTGACGGCCAAGGAAATGACAACTAATCCTAACAGATAAATAAAGCCAAGGGAAGGAGATGGGGGAAGGAGAAGAAAAAATCAGATGTGGCTAGATCTCTGTCATCATTGCCCCCACCCCTCAATGTTCACCACATGTCTGTAAATCCTAGAGACTTCTGACTGAATATGATTTTGAATTCCTAACCCATTAAAGACAAAAAAAATCCTGCTTTTGGTAGGTGGCTTGTTATTTTGATTACTGAGCCAGAAAGCAGGGACGACAGGCCCCTGACCAAAACCAGGTAAGAGATACCTCTGAAAATGCAGAGCCTCAGTCTACCTAGGTAATTAGCAAGATGGTGGTGGCAGGGAAATGGTAAAAGCTGATGCTGCATGTAAAAAGAGTTTTCCTCTTTCCTGCAATACCATACCGATGAATTTTCTGTATTGCATTATGTTTCATTAATTTGCAATCGTTCCACTAACAGGAAGACCAGAATAAATGTATTATATATTCTGGTATAATACAGGTATTAAAAAAAAAAAAAAAAGAAAATATCTTTCTGTTATTAAAAAAAAAAAAAAAAGGCAGAATGAAATCTTACTTGATTTTTCCAGGTTCCCTTGCATAATACATTGTTGAAAGAATGCGAGTGGACGGTCTCACAATTGTAATAACTGCCTCATATCTGTAAGAAACACATAGGAATAGTCTTATTTCAAGCTCAACAAATTAGAGAACTACAAAGTGTTTTCCACATTTTAAAATTCACTTACTTCTTTTTCTTCTTCTTTATGTATTTATCTTGAGCAAATTCTGTTTTGTCTCTGAATGTTGTACTGTTCTCTATTAACTGTTGAACTATTTCCTTGGAAAAGACAAATTATTTTTATTATAGCTGGTATTTATTTCTCATTCATTTCATATAAAGTATTTTTTTAAACACACTGAAAATACTTCCTTCCAGTAGAGGCAATCTGTCATTAACTTCTACTGACATTAATGGCAAAGTAAATTTCTACTAATCAACATGAAAAGCGAGGCACTACGCTGACTATGTGCAGGAATTTAATCATATACTTCTGTCTCTAAGTGTTTTTAACTACATAATGCCAGCAAAAAAATATAAAATTGAAAATGCTTATCCTGGAAATGGGGTATTTTGTGAGGAAGGAGTCAGGTAGGTGCCAGAACTCCTAAGAGGGCAGACCCGTACGGCCAGAAATGAAGAAAAAGCAGGATTGTTCCTTTCAGCAGCAGCAAGTCATTACTTCAGCCCTTGCTGTGAAGCCTCAGCACCGAAAATATCCTTCTCCTATGCTGAATGTGAATGAGACAACCCTGCTTTTTAAGTGATTAGCTACTTGTAATTATCCTGTATTTAGAATGAGGCAGTCATGTTTATTGTCAGTTACTATGGAACAACTGACTGACTCTGTCAGTCTAACATTCCCCATAGTAACTGGATTGCACGACGGTACCCCAAGTCTTGTGTGAGGCTCTACGGGCAAAAATATTTTACAAAAACAAACCAAGGAACCTGATGGCACCTGTTATATTCACTTTAATCCAACTGCCGCTTTCCTCTTCGGGTCTCTTGTCTGACTTTAGCTTTGCTATCTCTGAGGGTGTCTTTTTTCCATCTCGTGCTAGTTCTTCCCATACACTCTGGCTATTTATCAGACATCACCCGTACCCAGTTAATTTCGTTTGCCTCCTAAATTGTGCTAGACTCCTGTACCACCTCCTTGCACAATGGCAAACTCCTTAGCATTTACTATTTCCCCTGACTTCTTCCTTCTCTAGCTCCCAGGTTTTCCCAGAATTCCAGTTTTTACTTCCTGGTCTCCTTGTTCTAATCTCCTCCCTTTGCCAATCCAGCTCTTCCCCATATTGTCAGGTTCCAGCTGACCATTAAGACCTCCAACAAAAATATTCTTGCATTGCTCAGGGTTTGTCTCCATACCTGCAATACAAGAACAAATGCTGCAGAGTGCGATTTTGGTGGTTGCAAACAGAGCAGTTTAACTGCTAAAACTGTAAGTTTCTATTAAACATGCAGGAAGACCAGTCGTATAACCTGGCTTCACAGGAGTTTGGGGCAAGAAATGACAAAAAAAAAAAAAAGTATTTTCAATGTGGACACTGCATCTCCCATTGTGCTTTAAGAACCTGCTCCAAAATACAGCACTTCTCACTTGCTATCGCTGCTTTTCAGGCCATTATTTCTTGAAGTCCTTCAAACACTTAAAATGTATTATTAACAGTGTGAAACAGCGCATCTTTCTTTTTTTGCCTTACTCCTGGAAAAAGTTAAATGCCGTATCTGGGTTGTTTTGTTGTTTGTTTGGGGTTTTTTGTGGGTTGTTTTTTTTTGTTGTTGTTGTTGTTTGTTTAATTATTGTTTCAACAACATATGTTGTTGTTGTTTAATTATTTATTCCAGTATAATTTACAGTGAGGAAACTGGGGAATATTTCTCTAGGGTAAACAAAAGCCAAAAGGAAGCTGCAGCACTAGGCAATGCCCTGGGAGTATGTGCCACTTCATGTCTTCATCCCAACACTTATCCCTCAGGAGTTGGGAAGGATTTGGGAAGTGAAGGGAAATCAAACCCCATTAACACTAAGGTTGTTTTATTGCAAATAACAAATCATCTCCAAACTAAGCCTGCATCACAAAGACATGTCGTTCACAAACATGAGTTCAGATTTTACCAGACATTTATGGAAGAATAGTATCTCTTGCTGCTAATATAACAGTTTAAAATGAATATTCAGCTACAGTTCAGAAACCAGAGTTAACAAACTCTGAATAAAATATCCTATTAAAATAGGATATTTTAATAACTTCAAATAAAAGTACCGTAGAGGTATGGCACGGACATGCTGAGGACATACAGAAAAGCCAGAGTGATCATCTGCCACGGATAATGAGAACGTATAGAAAACATCAAAGCTATCAGATGGATTAGTACATTCTTCTCAGAGAGGTAACACAACAGGCAGCACAGCTACGCAAACAGAAGAAATACCATTCTAAACTCCTTGGACCCGTCCATTATTAAATGCAGGAAAAAGCAGAACGGCTGCTCTGAAGAGCAGCAGCAAACAGCAAGATGCAAAGAGATGAAAGCATGAACAATTTCTTCTTTTTATTAGAAAGGGTAAACCAAAGATGAGAGAGGATTTTGCCTGATAATATGTGCAGAACAGAACTGGCTGCGATGGTTTATTAACATTTAAGATGGCCTCACTTTTTGACAAAGCGCAGGGTAAAAACCAATCCCTTTTCTAACAGAACTGATCTCTTGAGGTGCAGATAAAACACAGGCATCACGTGTCTAGTAGGTACTGCCCACGGCACACTGAGAGTACATTTGTTACACAGTGTTACTTACTAATACTTTGGCATTTATCCATAATCCTTTCCTACACCTTCCGTAGTTTAATTATTACACAATTTTAATAGGTTTGTAACATATAAACGGTATTTTGAATCTTATAAACAAAGAAAACTAAAAGGTGATTATATAAGCTGTATTCCTTAACAGTTTTAGTATTTCTTTTTGTCTGACTTCTGATGCCGATAAAATTCATACTTTACTCTCTGTTGACAAAGTTGCCAGCCCTAAAGGAAGTTCTCTCTGAAAATAGCTTTTGCATTTTTGTAAAAACAGACCTTTAGGAAACACATGACTTGAGCAGAAGAACAAAGAAAAAAAAGCACTGAAGTCTATGTACCGATAAAAAGAATAGCCTATTTCATAAACTAAAATGTAACCATCAAGGTAGCACAGAAATGACACCAAAACCTTATTTTTACCTGTCCTTTAATACCCTTGTCCTTCAAAGCCTTTATGTCATCATGAGTCAGTTTTTGAGACTTTCCATCGTCAACTATGTTACGATTATCTGTACCTGCTTCTTTTGTTTCTAAAGGAAAAGAATATATATTTGTAAAATCTAACTCTAAATATCTTGAAGTTGGAGAAACATATGATTTTAATTTCACAGAAAGCAGACTTCTCAGGATTAAACCCACATGCTTCATGGCCTTGCAAAGTATTGCCTAGGCAATCAATGAAATGATACATAAAATACACCTTAGCATATAGATATTCACCCAAACTAAGGTTCAGATTTTCTCCCCTGTTAAAAAGCTTATTGTTACACGACTAGTGAAACAGCAGATCAAGACAAAACCATGCACTTTTATGACAGAAAGAATATAAGTAATGTTAACAAATGATTAATAGAAAGGTTTTCCATCATCTGTGGTCTTATCAAAGAAACAAATTAATTGGAACTCATTTTTCCAAATACCAGCCAATCCTCTGCACTACCTGTGGTAGTCTCTTCCAACTCTTGCTTTGGCTGAAGGTTTCCACCACTGGTTACTTCAAATGTAGTTCCATAAATATGTCCAATGGCATTATCCAGATAGAACCACTGCTTCTCAAAAATTATTTTTCTGAAATAAGAAAGTTAATGATATTAAAAGCATTGTTTTTACTATGTCTGAAACCCACAATGGTTGAAACTAAACTGTAGCTTCATATATGCCATTTTTATCTATATCCTTGTAGAAAACCAGCACAAGCACAAAAAGTCAAATTAACCACAAATCCACATTAAACTGAAACCGGTTAGGAAAAGAACAAAGAACTTAAATAGAGCATACAGTAAGAATTTTTTTTTTTTCCGTTCAAAAGAATTCTAAAATGGCAGATAAAATAAGACCATAGCACTTGAATTATACAGTACCGTTTTTGGCAGCTATAGTCAGAACAAGGCAAGGAATTAAATTAATCTAAAGTATATTAAATCTAGGCAGGGTCACGCAGATTAGTGCAAATAGATGAGCATGAACCTGTATTTTGCAGAGCTCCTTTGAAATAACATTTGCCAAAAGACTACAAAGAAAACAGACAGCAGAGAGTGTCTTATAATTCTAGAAATGTTTAATACAAGAAAAAAAAAATAAAAGGATTTTATTATTCCTTTCATTTTGATTGCACTAAGGGAGGTTTGTATTTTTCTTTCTTCACACAAAAGAGGATCCACAAAGCCTTTAACTTTCAGGATGACCTACAAAGGTTTCCTTGCTGACCAGAGAAATGCCGATCTTGTCAAGTCAAACAGGTACCAGTGTAGATGCCACACTCATATTAGAATCAAAAGTTACCAATATGAGCTGTCATTACGCTGATTATACTCACTACTAATTCTGAAGCTAAGCAAAAAAGCTATTTCCAGTTTTCTACTGACTTAAGTGTGCAATTCATGTATGTTTTACACATGGCATTACTTGTATCCCCAAATGCAATCCAGAATTTAAACAAAGCATAAGAATAAAGTTTTGTCACAGCCATTACATCCTCATAATAAAAATTTAATGACATTATAGTCACTCACATAAAGTCTATTAATCCCTGCCAACACAGATTTTAAAAGACTAATAAATGACTATAAAAGCATTGATAATGACTGAAACGAATTTAGCTAGATATTGTGTGCTTGTGCTCAAATTTCATTTTGATGGCCATTCTAAACAGAATATCCAACCACAGCTATTGTCACATGTTCTTGTTCTCATCAGATTACAGAAAAACTAAATGCAAAAGTTACTGAGTTTCCTGTGTGAATTTTTACTCGACTTTTTTATTTTTTTCTTTTATAGTAGAGGTTTTAAACCAAAACCGAAGATGGACCTAATGAACACATCTTGGCAGTGCTCTGCAGGCTAACAGAGTAACGATCTGATTTTGGTGCCAGGTTCTACGGGTGAACATTAGTCCTGCCAATAGCCAAGCACTCCCCAAATCCTAGGTCTGAGCTGTGCCATTTTTCAACCAGTCTCATTCAAGCATAGTACCTTTAAATCTCCACGCTACTGAATCAGATGTCTGGCCACATTACCCAATACTGACTTCTACACATTGGTCTATAAAATTGTCTGCTGCAATGGGAAGAGCCCAGGCTGTGTCCACTGATTACAGTATTTCCTGCAGGGGTGCAGGCAGTTCTTGCTATGCCAGTTAGCCTAGGAAAAAGAAATAGGAGACCTTTCATAGCATCCTCTCCCGAGCAGGAGCTATCCAGCGCTGATAGCTAGCATCTTCCTACAGTCTGACAGCGACGAAAACACTCAAGCCAGTCCCTATGTAACAAAACAAGGCTGCATGTCGCAGAAATTATACGCCACAGCGAGGTAAGTATGATGAAGGCACGCGCTTGATGCTGCTGCGCCTCTGCTCTTCCATCGACACCGGTTTGACTATAGTAACACAAAACCATCCTAAGTATCTTTCAAATTTTTGCAAAAAAAAAAAGCAGCCAGGAATTTGTCTGGGTATTTTTTGTTTGTTTGTTTGGGTTTTTTTTGTTTTTTTTTTTTTTTGTCACGGGAACACAGCACTAACATCCTCCATGCTGCCTGTCACCCACCGGCTTAGCGAGGCCGGATGTTCTGATTCACAGCAGGAAAACTAGGGAGGTCGCACCGGGAGGGACCCCCCTTCCCTCAGGCGGGGCCGCGCGCCGCAAGTTAGAGCCCCCTCACGGGTTGGGGGGGGGTTGGGAAAGGACTAAACGCCAACCTCGCCCGAGGCGGGGGGAGGTGACAAGCAGGATCGAAAGCCCCGGGCCGCCCCTCACCTCCGCCGTAGCACGGGAACCGCTTTGAAAACATCATCCCGCTTCAGGACAGCGCAATCCCCCTCACGAATGCGCGGGCCCGAGCCGAGCCCGCCCGCCATCGCCGTGCGCACCGCCGTCGCGTGGGGGGGGAGGTGGGGGGAAACAGGGGGGTCGGGGACTGCGCCTGCGCTCCCTTGGCCGGCCAGCGACAAGGCGGAGTGGGGAAGCGCCTGCGCAATGAGGCTCGGCCAGCCCCGAGTGGGCGGGACCGGGAAGGGAAAGGGCAGGCCAATGAGGGCACGCGGGCCCCGCCCCCTGGTGCGCGGCGGCGCCACATAGGCCCTCAGGATTGGCTGCGGCGCTGGAAGGGGCGTTTGGCGCCAAAATAGAACACTGAGGGGACGACGGTTACCTTCTCCTCAGGGGGAGGCGACGATGGCGGAGTTGGTGGCGGAGTTGGTGGCGGCGTTGGTGGCGGCGGTGGTGGTGTTGGCGGTGTTGGAGGTGTTGAGGGTGTTTGAGGTGTTGGCGGCGGCGGTGTTGGCGGCGGTGGTGCATCGCGTGGGGTAAAATCTCTGGTGAGTGGTGCTGTTGTTTCGCCCTCTCATCGGCGAGGCCGCTTCACGGGGTTCCTCTCTGCCCGCCTGGGGTCGGGAGAGGGTGAGTAGGGCCTTGGAAGTACCTCAGGGTCTTCAGTGCCCCCCGGCAAGTCACCTTAATTTAAATTCAATATCTTGTGGTAAAATTTCTGTTTCGTCGCGTCCCCCGGCGGGTGCCTGCGGAGCGAGATGAGCAGGGATCTCAGAGGCAGGGGGTGCGCCCGGGGAAGGAGCTTTCCCGTGTGGCGAGGAGGATGGCGAGGCAGAGGACAGAAGGGACAGTGGAGAAGAATACCCGAACCCAGTGAGTTTATTCCTGTGCTTCTACCACCTATTCTCCGAAGCCATAATAAAAAGCCTTTCTTTTGAACTACTTTTGCGCTAAGCAAATACAGCCGTTTGCCTCCCAGTGCTCAAAGGAATCACTGAGAATAAAACTTGTGAAGTTTTACTATCCATGTTGTTTTAATCCCCATTTTAATTTTATTTTTTGTTTGTTTTGGGTTTTTTTGTAGCAAGACCTCGACTAGTCCAGTCAACCTTGGACCAGTTTATTCCCTATAAGGGCTGGAAGCTTTATTTCTCTGAAGGTATTTTTAAACCAAAATTACATGTAGCAAGTATTTTATTCCACTTTTTCTAGAATTGCATATAAGTAGAGGGCACAAGTTCAACAGAATACAACTGAAGTTCTTATTTGTTATATAAAAACATGAGCACAATAGAGATTTTAATCTTGTGGCACACTGTAGTCTCAGTGGGCTCCAAACCTTGGAAAGGAATCTTGAATATTGTAAAACATGATCTTTCTTGAACCCGTTCAGTTAGCCACACAAAACCTGTAGTCTATCAAAGACTTGAATGTACATACCTCTGCTGTACTTTTCTTGATCCTATGTGTTTTTTCCTGTGTCACCTTGGACAAAGTTCTGTTTTGTAGTAAGTCTTTAATAGAATATTATTGTGATACTGTAGAGATCTATCATCTTCCTCAGTTTTAGAATGCAGAAAAAGAGTGGCAGAGAAATTGCCTGTTTATGTATTTTGTTAAATGGAAATAATTATTTCTGTCAGTTACTAATGAGGCATGTTTTTAATTAGCTTATGCTGACAGGTCTCCTTTTGTCCAGAAGACCCAAGCCTTTGAAAAGTTTTTCATGCAACGCATTGAGCTTTATGATAAGGTAAAAGCAAAACAAACCATATCGCACTCCAACAGCCTATTGTTGATACAATAACACTACAAATTTTGTGTGTTTTCTCCATCAAACATAATGAAACATTTATGATGTGATTTGGATGTCTTGTGTTGATAATTTGAAGTGTATTTTATAACAAAATGTTTCACAGGATGAAATAGAAAGAAAAGGAAGTATTCTCGTGGATTATAAGGAACTAATACAAGACAGAGAATTGACTAAATCAATACCAAATATATCTACTGAGTTAAGGGATATGCCTGAGAAGATACTGCACTGTATGGGTCTGGCAATTCATCAGGTAAATATGATGTTCTAATACAGAGAAGTGTAACCCTCATAATGAAAAAGAATCGGGGAATTAGATTTAGGGGGTTTTAACATCATTGCCTCTATGTTTTGTCTCTTACAGGAAATTACTGTTTATTTAAAACTCACACTCCTCCATCTCTCCACCATTTCTGTATGGCCCACAAAATCACGTTTCAAAAATGCTTCGGTCTTCGTGCATTTTGCTTATTCATCATTCATACAGTTGACTAAGACTCAATGTAGTTCTAACACTTATGTTACTCCCCATTGGGAGTTCTAATTCCTGGTTTGTTTTGTTTTGTTTTTTTAATGTGAGATATCTGTGCTGTGTGTCCCACCTCATGCAGCAGAACCACGACTGGTGGGTGAGCAGATTCAGGAATTCTGGCTCTGTTCAATGTCTCTTCAAGTAGCATTTCGCTGCTTGTTGACAGACAAGTTTTCAGATGTTTGTGCTGTAGTCAAACAAAACACAGGTTGACCACAGCATTAAAAATGGTTGTCTGCTTTTTTTTTTTTTTAATGAAAAAACCCAAACCCAACAAATAATTTTAAATTCCATTTGAAGCGAAGCTTAAAACTGCTCAAAAGCAGAAAAACACTGTTTAGTTGGGGGGTCACTGGACAGCAGAGAGCTTTTTAGGTGGGGGATCTGATTGTAAGGGATGGTAATCAAATTGTGTAGCAAATGGAATCCATGTTGCATGACACGCTGCATTGGTGGCTGCCTTTCTCTTCTGTCTAGGTGCTAACAAAGGACCTTGAAAGGCACGCTGCAGAGCTGCAGGTGCAGGAAGGATTACCGCTTGAGGGAGAACCTATAATAAATGTGCCTCTCATTCATGCTAGGTAATGGGCATTGAGTATTTGGGGTTTTTTTCCAGGAAGATCTATTTGTTTTTTTCCTCACCGTGATAAAGGCTAAATTGCCTTTGTGAAGAAAAAAGTGAAATGAAACCTGCTTCTAAGTTGAACAAACAGCTTGTAACTAGAAAAGCTTCTAAGTAGAGAAGTAACTTAAAAGTAGAACAACTATTCTATGAAACATGTATTGATTAAAACCACCACTATTTCAGTTTCTGCTGTTTACTGAAGAAGTTGGGAAGTGATTATTGTTTTTATTAGCAAAAGGCTTGTCTTTGTAAGGAGGCTGATTTTGTAGACAAAAACTACTGCCAGTAGTATTAACTATTCCTTGTGTGGATGTTTTCACAGTGGTGTATGAGGATATGTTTTTTCGTATTAGCTTAAATCTGTTAAATGATTACTGGTAGACAGTCTCAAGAATATTAATTATAATTAATCAAACTTTAATTTGAAATTAAGAAGCTGAGGTTACACTAATTCTGAATAAGTATGTACTTGCAAGAATCATAATTACTGTTATAAAACGTGATTTCCTTTGAGTTTTAATGAGTTTAGTGAGTTCCTTTCAGTTTAATGCCCTTAACATGATTTTTTTTTTCCTTTATTAGAAGTAATGGTGTCACTGACTTCAGAAGTCTGAGGGGGACTGGAAGTATATGCCCTATTTGAGTTAAAATTACTTTTTTTTTTTTTTTTAACTCCCAACTGGTGATGGCTTAGTGTGGTATAGCCCCATATTTTGGCATGACAGGTGGATTTAGTTTGGGGACCTGTAGCACTAGGATATATTTTTAAGTTTTGCATTGTTATAAAACTGAACCCTTTTAATTACACAGTAGAATGTGTTTAGGAAAAACCTGTGGCCAAAAAAGGTATGTACAAGCTCTCAAATTCTGAGTTAAGGACCATTTTCCTGTAGAGGAAGGTATTCAGTAAGTCAGTGAAATATGCTCCTGAAATGGTTCTGCTGCGTAGACAGGGTTGAAAACGAAATGGTGCTGTTCAGGGTTTGAAGCAGGGAAAACCCTGGATTTCAGGAGTCAGACTCCTCTCATTGGTGCTGAGTTACAGGACCAGGGACAGTAGGTACAAATTTAAAAACGTAGAATTCCATGTGAACATAAGAAAATGCTCTTCTACTGTGAGAGAAGTGGTGTAGTCTCCATCCCTGAACGTATTCAAGACAACTAGATATGTACCTGGACAACCTGCTCTATCTGCCCCTGTTTGATTAGACAATCACATCAGGTCCATTCCATGATCAATGATTGTGTTTAAAGTTTGTTATTCTGAATGATTTGGCTATGTATTCTTTGTTGTCCTTAACAAGGTGCAGTGTGTTGTTCCTGATGACAGATTCTTATGTCCTTGAAACATGAAAACTCACCCTTCCTTTTGGAGCATAGGCATAACAAATCTTTGATCCTTCTGTGTTTCAAGTCTAAACACTGGTCTTAATCTGAAATAATTTAAAGAGATGGTTATAGATGACTATAAAGTAATTTCTGTTGTTTACAGGAGGGAAGTGTCACTCTATAAACAAGCTGTACAGCTGTTGATGTATATACCCTTGGGGAACATTAAATGTCACACTGCTTTCTAGAACAGGAATCAAAGACTATAACATGGGTCCACAGACAAAGTGTTTCTAACCATTGCTCTGGATTATTGTTAATAATTAGTGTGTAATTTGTTTGTTTTTTGTTGTTGGGTGTGAGATTCTTTTGGTTGTATTTGGGGGGGGGGGGGGGGGGGGGCGCGCTGTTTGTCCTGCACTTAAATATGGTAAGCTTTCAAAATGTTAATGCTTAACTTTTGTATAGGGTGTACAACTATGATCCACTAACTCAGCTGAAAAACGTTCGGGCCAACTGCTATGGAAAATATATTGCCTTGCGTGGTACTGTTGTGCGTGTCAGTAACATTAAGCCTCTGTGCACTAAGCTAGCTTTCATATGTGGCACGTGTGGAGGTGTTCAGAGTGTTCCTCTACCTGATGGAAAGTATACTCTTCCAACTAAGGTCAGTTAAAACCATTTAACTCCGTACTTTTCCCTTACCTATAATGATTTGTCAAAAAGCAGCACTACTGGTGTAAAAAAAAAAAAAAAAAAAAAATCTCACTATTAAAGCTAGGTTAAACAACCGACACATTAGAAACCGTTAAACTTACCATGCAACTTTTTATTACTGCACACCTTTGTTATCTGAAAAAAAATATATCCAGATGAAATAAAAGCAATATGTAGAAACTCCCTCAAATCTAGGGGAAAAAAAAAAAATCTCTTAATTTTCATTTCACCAATTATATTTAAAAAGCCTGTTCTACCTCACTGCAGTGGTTTTCTGTGCTTAGATTGGGGTTCTTTGTGGGTTTTATTTAGAACTTTCTATTTTAATTTCACTGTTTTTTAATCTGGATTTAAAAAATCATTAGACATAGGATAGCGCCCAGTTATTTTATCTTACCTGATGTACTCAAGTGAAAAGTATCTCCTCTGGAACATCTGCAAATATTTAAAAAAAACAACTAAACAAAAAAACCCCCAACCAAACATAAAACCAAACCAACAAAAACCCCAATAAAACCTCCAAACCAAAAACCCACCAACCCAAACCCCCCAAAAAACAGACAAAACCCAACACATAGAAACTCAAACTAGTTCACCAAGGGGATCATACAATTCAAGCTGTACTTGTTCGAACAGCTCTGAGTCAGGGTTCAGGTGTCTGTGTTTGATAGTTCTTCATTAATTATGTTGTGCTAATTCGCAGCCCTAATTTAACTAGCTTTTTTCCTGAAATGGTGTCAATGAATCGCATTGCTTTGCTTTTTTTTTTTTTTTGTTAATCAAATAAGGCAATTTCTAATTATGATTTTAAAAAAAGGTGGAGAATGAATTAGAATTACTCTTGTTATAGTGCCTTATTCCCGAGTGCCGTGGCCGATCCTTCACAGCTGACAGAAGCTCTCCTTTAACCACCACAGTGGACTGGCAGTCTGTTAAGTAAGCACGTCTTCCCTTCTGCACAAAAATGTAATGCAACAGGGTAGTCAAAGCGGTGGGACAGTTCATTCCATGTTACACTGCGTCATTTTAATAATCTTATTATTTTTCTGGCGAGCGCTCTTTGAAATTTGTATTGCAAAGCGGTTGTTGTATTAGAGCACCACTGGACTTTGTATAATAAACCTACCCATTATGATAGCATCTTGGAAATTCTTCCTACCAGGACTGAGTTCTTTGAGAAATGTTCAGTTTGTGCTCTTTGCAGCTTTTCTTGGTCATTTCTAATTGTATCTATTATTTAATGAGTCCCTTTAATGAGTTGTAAATCTTCTAGAAAAGTACTAATAAATTACATTGGTCAGCTGTGACAGTTGACTTGTATGAACTGAAAGTAAATTTGAGGGTTAAAAATCTTATTTTGAAGTGATTGTGTCCCCCCAGTCCTTAAGGTACTCTCAGTAGAAGGAAATAGTGCTGTGCCTGCCCACTGATCTTCCTTCTATGTCTAATCAGCAAGTAGGCATACCTAAAATTTTGTGAGACTCGCTATTGGGGAAGAAGTCACTGTTTCTACAGAAATGAACAATGATAAAGTGTAGGAAGGTACTACGGCCATCCCATTATTGCCCTGTAATAGACATTCAGAAGAGTTTGTGTTGTTTTTTTGTCCGTCCTGTTAGCTCACTGCAGTAAGGGTGTCAGCATGTTTTTCTTTATTAACATTCTGTAATAAGTAATATAAAAAGTTGTTTTAAAAAGTGCTGACATTTTTGTCAGCAGCTCTAGAGGGTGCTGTTTAACACAGCTTCTTAAGAAAAAGCTTGACTCTGAGCTTCAAGGAAAAGTATCAGAGCTCTAAGTGCAGAGCCAAAGATGGAACCTTTTAAAGAACTTGTTGGTTGCTAGCCTTTTACAACTACTCAGAGTAAGCTACTGTTCTTGTTATGGTCTGAGGAATTTCTTGGCCTTTGCTCGGGTTAAAATGCCAGTTAAACATTTATCAGAGCTCTGATGTCTGACCTTAATTTTTATTTGAGGTCCATCTTATTTCAGGTACTGTACTTATTTCTACATGAATATACTCATCAGTGCTAGAAAAATCAGAATTTCAGCTTTAATTATTTCTGGAGTTGATAGTTATTGTCTTTCTGGGGTTTATGCATAATGTATACCCACTTATTAAAGTCTGAACTGAAAAAGTCTGTTTCTCCAAATTCAGCACTGCTGTTTCTAGAGTTTATCAGGGCATTCTGCTGTCTCCCTTCTCATTTTGGAAAGGATTGGATGGAAGCACACAGATGCAGATCTTGTATGCCATAAGTGGAAATGCTGTGCATGGAGCGTATGCTCACCTTATGTTTTGCAGGGTGCAGGAGCTCATGTCAGATGATCAGCGAGGAGCAGGCAGAATCCCTCGCACAATTGAATGTGAACTCGTTCAAGATCTTGTGGACAGCTGTGTCCCGGGAGATATGGTCACAATTACCGGGATAGTAAAGGTGTCGAGCACTGAGGAAGGTAAAATACATCATCTGAAACCAACACTTTTTTCTTAGGGTGGGGATTCTAGTCATTACACCAGAACAGCCATCTCCCTTCATTTGAGCCCTCAAAGTTGTAAATGCATTAAGTATATTTCTTCAGAAATATATGTATGGATATTTCTTCAGAAGTTCCCAAAGTTTTGTAACGAATTATTTTGCAAAAGCCAGAAGCAGTACTGTCCAAGAGGAGCACTGTCCCTAATCTCTACCGATAAGAGAGGGGGTTTGTAACCCACTGATCTCTACATGACTAGGGTTCCTGAATTTGAAGTGCCCATTTGACATCTGATGTTTTAGTATGTCAGCTGATAGGGAAGCCTTCTCTGAGCCACTGGTGTATCAGGGACATCCTTATTTCCTGAAGTCTCACAGAGACTCATTAGTTACTTAGCCTTTTCCCTTTAATGTCCCCTTCATACAATAGGAAAACTGTCCACACTGTTGTGAAAGTGTATTATCTTTCTTAGTTTAGTCTTCCCTGGAAAAATTTTACAACTTTTTTTTTTTTTTTTGTACCCCCCAAACTGAAGTATGTTGTACACAGCTGTAATAGGATATGTTGCAGAGAACTGCAGTACTGATTTACTGTGATACCGTGTTTTCTGCTCAGTAATTATGGGGGGGATATAGAAAATGAATAATAATTAAGCTACACCTTTAATTCTTCTGCACTATGGATTTTTATTCTCTAAATATTGAGTGGAAACATTTTATATTACACTTTTATTTAGTTAGAATAATGTAATAATTTAAAATTCTTGGAAAACTTCATTTATTCTGGGAGAAAATTCTCTCTCTATATTTATACCCTCCTAGTCCAGCAAAATATTTTATTATGTACCTATATAGAGGGCACTTAAAGAACAAATGTATCTGGAAACTTACTTTGCATCAATTTTTGAAAATGCAGATGTTCAAATACTTAAATACAAACATTTTTGCATATGGCTGTACTTAATATTTCTGAATTACCCTATGCCATTTGCAAATAACATCAGTACGTAACTATAGAAAAATATTCCTTCATCCTTTCTCAATTTTTCTGACAGGAGCTTCTAAAAATAAGAATGACAAGTGTATGTTCTTGTTGTACATTGAGGCAAATTCTGTCAGCAACAGTAAAGGACAAAAAACAAAGAATTTTGATGATGAGACTTTTCAAAGATCGTTCATGGAGTTTTCACTTAAAGACCTCTATGCTGTTCAAGAAATTCAAGCTGAGGAAAATCTGTTCAGGCTCATCGTGAAGTAAGTTGTTTCAGACCTAGACAAGGTGTAGGACTAGACTTCTGAATCTTCGTGATCACCTTCAGCCAAATGTGACAGCCAATCTTAAAGCTATGAAATGTCTAAGTCTTGTGTAATAGATACCACACAGATGTAACAAACTTTAGTGGGCAAGGGGCTTGGGAGGAAATGCAAGTATTGCAGTGGGGATGTTAAGACTTTGGGAGGGATTTAAGGATAGAGGGAAGTTAGTGGTTCAATTCAACCCTGAGACAGAAAGCTATGGATAAAAAAAAAAAAAAATTTGACTCCTCACTGAGTAAATTCAACGCACTATACTAAAAGGTGCAAGAACTGAGCAGAGGGCGTGAAAGACTCTCAGTTCAGACCAAGAAGTACTCTTCTAGCTGTAGCATCTGTCAGGCCCTCCCAGTGGAGTCAAAGAACATGAAACTAGCACCTTTGAAAAGAGATTTACAAGTAGCTACTTGATTAAGGTGAGAATGGGTGCAGAAACCGCTGCGAAACTGATTCTCCTCTGTGTTTTTGTAAACTCAGATGAAAGGCTTTTCTTATTTTAAGCATATCTGGTCGTCTGAAAATTTAAAGGAATTTGATGCTGCTGATTTAAACTGATTCTATTGGGAACTCAGCAGCAGCTACCCAAATGTTTTATATGGTTTTAGAGGCATTCTATAACAAGAACAAGTGATTATTTAATAGTAATACAAGATTTATATTCCTCTTATGTTAGTGTTCCTTGTTTTTCAGCTCTCTTTGTCCTGCAATCTATGGCCACGAGGTAATTATTTTATAACAGCTCTGCTCGCAACTTTAGTTTGAAATGTTTATGCCACAGTAAACTTCTAAAGGATTTATAAAGCTTATCTGGGGTGGAAGGGGCAGGGATTTTGTTTATAGGCGACTGTGACTCTCAGTCACTTTCAGTGACAAGGAGGTGGCAGCCTTATACCCTTAAGTTAAGCCAACCAGAAGGAAAGGGTTATTATAAGCAATTCTAGGGAGCTGTCAGTATTGGTCACCATGATCAAATGCTTATTAGCATTGGTATGTACCTCTACAGATTGTAAAGGCAGGTCTGGCCCTGGCGTTATTTGGAGGATGTCAGAAGTTTGTAGACGACAAGAACAGAATCCCAGTGCGAGGAGATCCACACATTCTCATTGTTGGAGATCCAGGATTAGGAAAAAGTCAAATGTTGCAAGTATGGGTTGATTTATTTCTGTTGTCTTGTTCTATTTTTCTCTAATTCCTTATCTTGACTTCTTACAAGCACGTTAGGATAGCTGTGCTAAGACCAAAACCTGGCTGGAGCTGTCTTTTCATGTAGGATAGAAAATAGGATAGTACCCAAAGGGGGGTCCACTGCTGTGCTCTCCTTCCAGGGACTCTTGCAGAATGAATCAGGCCTGTTAAAACACTTCCCAAAGCAGGTATACTTGGTCAAGACTGGGCTTTCAAGTACAGACTTGTTGTCCTGTCCTTATGTAGTTTTTTTTCACCAACCCTTTTCTCCGGTGTGGAGTTTCATTCCTTCCTATCCTCATTTAGCTGATCCATTGTCAAATATAAGAAATACACTGTTGGAACTAATGCAACTTTAACTACCGTGTCACTCAACTTCTGTTGGATTCACTTCCATTCTCTTAGTCTATTTTTATGTTGCTAGCATGGATCTCAGCTTCTTGGGAAAGGGACCCGCTGCTGCGTTTGGGTTTTAATCTTGGTGGGTGTTTCTGCATGACTGTGACAAAATCAGTTAGTAATAGAATTTTTTCATATTAAATGGTTCTAATGTTCCATGTATTTTCCCATGATTACTGTGAAGTGAGAGGGGGACACAGTTCATCTAGACCTGCGGTGTTGAATACCTCATTTAAAAAGTCTGAGCCTTTTTAATGTGGACATGTAATGTTGGGGTATGACTTGCAATAACTTAACCAAAGCGATGGATTTGTATGCAGGCATCTTGGCAAACAAATTTTTGAATTACTTTTTCACTGAGTGGGGGCTCTTTAGCATACGGTAAATGATTTGTTTTTTCCACATTGTTACTAAATAACAGAATGCCTTTCAAGAAAATCTAGTAATCCGCAGATAAGACCCTGAGACAAGGATCCTCTGTCATCACTGTCACAGGGAAAAAAAAATAATCCCAAGGAGAAAACCAAAGTTGTGTAGAAGCCAGTTTTTTTTTGTTCGGGTTTTTTATTCAATACTCAGTGCCTGTCACCTATCTGGTACTGAACAAATATCCTGTGGGTGTTATTTTTTTAAATAAAACAGAGGTACCAGTAACTATAGAGTTACTGGGAAAATCTAGTTATAACTGTATTCTAGGCAAATTTAACTGCAACATGTCTGTGTTCAAGCTTACCATGCTTTGCTTTTCTAGTTCATATTTCAAATTGTAGGCTACTTTGTGGATACTAGAGGCATGGAGAAGACTAGGATTGTCCTTTATCCCCTAGTTGTGGGGAGAACTATGCCTTCCTCCACAGAAGCAGCATGTGTGGGGCACCAGGACAAGATATTAGTCTAAATAGACCTTGGGGTCTGAAGATACAGAAACTGTATACCTGCAATTCTGTGACAGATAGCATGTCCCCAAGCATTTCAACATAACTTGAAGTGCTTGTGCCCAAGGTCCTAGTAGTTTTGATAACTCAGTAGACAGGGCTGTGCTGCAAGTATGGTGACCAGAGTTATTCCTACTGTTTTCCAGAAGTATGTCTCTCAGAGTTGCAGGGAGTTATAACTTTACTGTTGGGCCACGTTAAGCAGAAAGATACAAAATTGGGTTTACTTTGAATTGCTGCTCTGGGATAAGGCTTCTGAAATTCTTCACATCGGGGAGGCAAAAAATATTTATTTCTCTTCTAGGCTGTGTGTAATGTTGCTCCTCGAGGTGTGTATGTTTGTGGCAATACTTCCACCAGCTCTGGCCTGACCGTTACACTGTCTAGAGATGGTGCTTCTGGAGATTTTGCCTTGGAAGCTGGTGCTTTAGTGCTTGGAGATCAAGGTAAAACATGTAATGCTAAAGGTTTTGTGTGTCCGGATGGGGGGGGTCAGGGCTGTGCGTGCTGCTGAGTTTAACTACAGTGCTTGCATAACTGTGGACTAAGAATGTAAATCTGAAGTATGATATTGGCTTTCCACACGTTGGGAAGTTCTGAGCTTCTCCAGTAGCTTCTCTGGAGGCGATTCCTGCTTTCCTAGGGCTTAGAATGCATGTGAAACTGGAGTTCTGCAATTCACATGCTGACCTTACTTAATGTGTCAAAGAACTAGGGTTTTGTTTTTGAGAAATCTCCAACTTAATGGCAGCTGTTAGGCTCTTACTTGTTTTGAAAAATAGCTGGTTTATGAGATTTGTCTGTCTCCATTTTTGACAAGCTTGTTTTTTCATCTTGGTGTGTAATCAAGACACTGCTTCAGCAAGCCAGGCCAACTTCATAATGGCTCAGCTGCAGCACCGCAAAATTAAAACAAGTCTTGCTGAAATGGAGACTTGGTCTGATGTCTCCTGCAGTCCCTAGGACTTTAGGTTGGACTTCTGATGTAGCACTGGATTGCAGCATACACTTGTGCATCAGTTAATGTATTTTCTAATAAGTCTTTGTCCTGTGTTAATTGCTTCCAGGAATTTGTGGAATAGATGAATTTGATAAGATGGGAAACCAGCATCAGGCTTTGTTGGAAGCCATGGAACAGCAAAGCATCAGCCTTGCCAAGGCTGGCATTGTTTGCAGTTTGCCAGCTCGGACATCTATCATTGCTGCAGCAAACCCAGTTGGAGGACATTATAACAAAGCCAAAACAGTGTCTGAGAACTTAAAGTGAGCACTTCCTGAAATATAGTTCACATTCAGGAGTAGATGCTTCTGGCAGCCTTGTAGCTTGCATATAATTGCTTTCTAGTTTCCTGGAGCTTGAACACAAACCTACTGTAATAATTTTTCGTGGCTTTTGAGAGAGAAATTGCTGTTCTACTTTATTCTGGATGAATGGGACAGGATTTTTTTTGTGTCTTTGAAGTGGAGCAGAGTTGTTGTAATTCTTCTACTTCTTTGAGCACTGTGTGGGTTTGTTTTTTTTTCTTTATTCTAGAATGGGGAGTGCTTTACTGTCGAGATTTGATCTAGTTTTCATTTTGCTGGACACCCCAAATGAAGATCATGATAACTTGCTGTCTGAGCATGTGATGGCAATCCGAGCTGGAAAGCTGGCAGCATGCAGCAGCACTGTTGTGACTCGCACCAATACACAGGACCTCTCTGTTCTTGAAGTTGTTTCAGATCGACCACTGCTTGAAAGGCTAAAGGTAGGACTTGTCCTGTGGCTGTTGCTGTGCCCCTTCCTGTGGTGTTTCTTGCCCTGGGACCTGGCAACCCTGATCTGAATGTCTTCAGTCTCTGACTCTCATTTTTCTCATGATAATTGGCTATGAATTAAAGATGAAACATTTAGGGCTCCAGCCACCAGTTTCTACCAATTGTCTGCTGCAGCTAACGTTACCCCTCCTGCTGGAGCTGCTAAAGATGTGTCTCAAGCCATTGTCGTTTCCACACAGAAGACAATTTATTAGCTGAGCTGTTGTTTGTCTGGTTTTTTTCCGGTTCTGGTAGTAAGGGGACTTTGCAGGAGATGCTCTAATGCAAAGTTGCTGTGTTGGATTTCAATGAAGAGCTACAGAACTAGACTGGAGTTAATAATTTAATGTAACATGATGTGCTGGGAAGTATTGAATCAGAATAAATCTGTGTGTAAACAAATCCTTGGGCATCTGCAACTCATGGAAGATTTGGGGATTACAGGAGAGGAAGCACATTTTTTACTAAACTGAAGTGATCAGTTTGAGAGCTGATATTGTGAAGTCCCAGGTCTTGGGAGAAATATCCCCTACTGGAGCTAACCACAGGTACTTTTGGAAATGGGATATCAGCAGTGATGGTTTACTCTTCCATGGAGCTGTATTTTGTAACAGCTGGGAATTGGGATTTTTTTCTTTTTGAGGGAGAATTCTTGACATAGTTAAATCATATTTGGCACTTCTTTATCATTGCAAAGGAGAAGCCTCAGCTGCTTTTTATGAAATGGCCAAGTGTGTTTCATTACATGTTTAAGCATAGGGTACGGACTTCTTAAGTACACAGTTCATATATGAAGCAATAAAGCCCTTACAGTGAAGTTTTTACCAGATAAAGCACAGATGAAGATTTTATGTTAAAATTTGCATTGTATAGGGCTCTGACAAACAGAAATCTAAGCTCTTTGTAATTGGGTTAGATCTTACCAGGAGAAAACTTTGACGCCATTCCACATCAGCTGCTGAGGAAGTATGTTGGATATGCTCGGCAGTACGTTCATCCAAATTTATCTCCAGAAGCTGCTCAGGTCCTCCAGGAATTCTACCTTGAGCTCCGGAAGCAGAACCAAGGAGTAGACAGCACACCCATCACCACGAGGCAGCTAGAGTCACTGATTCGACTTACGGAGGTAAATGCAAGCTGTAATACTTAAGGGATAGAAAGCAAAGAGATTATTCCTAAACTACTGCTGATATCCTATAGTTTTTGACAGCTTGTTCACTGCTATGATTTTTTTGTTGTGTTTAAAAAAAAAAAAAAAAGTGAGCATGCAAGAGTCTTACAAATGCTTAAGGGCTACTGTTGCTTAAAGCATCTTATAAAGTAAAGCACCCTGGAGGGGATGGAAAAGGAATCCGACGCATTCTCCCAAAAGGAGAAAAATTAGGTGCAGGTAAGAACAAGCTGCTGCCCATCTTGAACTTCAACTGCCACTGTTTTCACTAAGACTATTTGTGATCTGCCGCTTCCCAAGAATACACTGTTAAAAAGCAAACAATCTCCAAGCTACAGCCTAATGGCAGTAAACAGGAGATGACATTGAAACGCTATTGAAAAAATAGAGGAATCTTCCTCCAAATGCTGTAGGCTCAGGTTCCATCTCTGCTCCTATAATTTGTGCTTGTTGAGAGCGACTGTAGATTTTTTTCACATTGGCTATAATGTATCTTAAATATACCTTTGTGGGATGTTTTGTTTTGTTTTAAGGCAAGATCAAGGCTGGAATTAAGGGAGAAATCTACCAAGGAAGATGCTGAGGATGTAATAGAAATAATGAAATATAGGTAATACACACTGCTTTAAAAATAAAGCATCATAGTGCTATTAATTCAAAACTATTTTTTTTAATTACAGATATGCAAACACATTGAAGAAATTGCATTACTGAGTTTAGGCTCATGATACTAATATTCAGATTCGTTACCTCTTTAAAAACTGACAGTAGCCCTAAGTTGAATACTTTGGCTTAGGCCTTTGAGTTGTATCATCATAGCAGTTATGTGTATCTGCACAGTAACTTAGACACAAAGTGCTACCAAAAGTTTGGGGGGTTTGTTGTTTGTGGTTTTTTTGGTTTGTTTTTTTTTTTGTTGTTGTTATGTGATTACTCTCTGGTACAGTTGAACAATTCAAGTAATTTGGATAGATGCTTAGTCTAAATTCCTTAGATAGGAAGCCATTCCCTAGTATGAAAATCGCTATGTGGCTTCTGAAAGCTTTCTCAAGCAGTTATGTTTCAGGAAGCAAATTCATGTACTTACTTTTACCTCCTCTTGGTCTTTTTTTATATATATTTAGCATGCTGGGAACCTACTCTGATGAGTTTGGAAAACTGGACTTTGAACGTTCACAGCATGGGTCTGGGATGAGCAATCGGTCACAAGCAAAAAGATTTGTTTCTGCCCTTAACAGTATCGCAGAGAGAACTTACAACAATCTCTTTGACTTGCAACAGCTTCGACAAATTGCAAAGGAGCTACAACTACGAGTAAGTTTGGAAATCAAGCATTTCTTCAACAACGAACTGCAAGACCAATCAAAATTATTTATTGCAAAATGGAAACTGGGAAAGGCACATGTTGTGCCTTTATGCTGAACAGAAATAAGCAGCTTTTGCTGATTTTAGGCTGAACACTCTTCCCGTAGAGCTTTTGTTTGTAAGCTTTATGAATCTTACTAGCTGTTTGACAGTAGCAACTCCTTGCACTAGTAAGGGTTGGTTCTATTTCTGAAGCTGGTGCTGAAAAAGAATTCTGCTTTGTTTCATGAAAGGCAATTTTGGTTTCAGTAAAATTTGCTTCCTCTGGCTTCCTGGGGGACACACCTATTTTAATTCCCACATTTAGACTGTTACACTGTCTATTTTGTTCTATTTTGGCAGCGCAGTGATGTTTCTGCTTGGCTTTCTTTGGCCCAAATATGCCTTTAGGGTTCTCATTCCTGCTTCAAGCATCCTAATACTCTAACCTGATAGGAACATCATGTAGGACAGACGGCCACAAATGTGTGTTATCTTGTAATTGATTTGCATTCTGTACTTGTGGGGGGACTTCAGCCAAATAAAAATATCAGTAGTTAATTCTACTTTTTGCTTCATGATGAAAAAATTTAAATGGCAATTTAAAACAAGACTGGATTTCCAGTGTAATGAGTGAAAAGTAGTGATAATGAATTTCTCTTTTTGGAACTTAAGGGTAGTAATGCTCTGCTTTCTGTTAGCTTACTTTGGCCAGCTGGGGAAAGATGGCTTTAGTTTCCTAACTTGTTCAGATGTTGCCTGTACATAAGACTGGATTTGGTGTGAGTCCTGTCTGACAGAACATGTTACTGCCAGCTCTCTTCTTACAAGATCAATCATTCATTCAGCAGCTACTGACCTATAGCTAATTTGATCAATTCTAGTTTTCTCTTTCTATATACAATATTTTTCGCCCATTCCAAGTTCTATACCTGTAACAAATACTTGGAAATCATTGAGAGTTGTAGAAATCAGACTTTTCTTTGGTAGATACCTGTGTTTCAGACCTTAGATTTATACATATGTAATTCTGCATACTGTCTGGATGTCATGACGTGGAGAACGCTTGTTCTGTGTAACACCACAGCATAAACAGTGTGTAAGTAAAGCACAAAAGGGTGCAACTGACTGCATGCCACCTCCTAGTAGGTCAGCAGTTTGCTAAGGAAACGATAACCTATTCTTAGCTCACTTTAAACACGTCAGAACTTTGAAATATGTTGCTTTGCATCAGATAAAATGTAATTTTTCCAATTTGATGCTTATTGTTGTCTTGTCTTTTCCCAGGTATCCGATTTTGAGAGCTTTATTGGATCCCTAAATGACCAGGGTTACCTCTTGAAAAAAGGTTCAAGAGTTTATCAGCTTCAGACGATGTGAAAAGAGCCACTGCAATCAACTTTCTTGAGACATAACTGTTACATCTGATGGACCTGCAGGATGCTGAGCGCCCGCGGGCTTGCTTAAAGCCGCTGTAGGATAAACCGGCACATGGTATTGCTGCTCGATTCACCCTACAGGTCTGCTAGCTCAAAGGGGACTCTGTAAGACCAGCATGTACTTTGTCCTCCTTGAGGAGTGGAAAATACATTTTATATTGACATTATCGCAGTGCCACAACAGATTTTTACTTCTAAAAGAGACATTGGACCCACAAATTTAAAACCGGGAATCTTTTTGTGATAAGGTGATGCAAGTTGTATTTTTAGCACTGTAGTTCTTGAGAGGAATTTAAAGTACAAATGTGTTTCCAAAATGTTGGGACCCTTCAGGTTGAGACAACACAGTTTTACAGCTGTTAAGAAGTGTTGCTTTACTGGAACTGACTCCATTTTCTGCCTTGTATCTCTGTGTTTATTGGTCTTTGAAGCTGAGATTTTATTTGAAATGCAAGTCTGATTTAAGAAAACATCCTCATTACAATATTTAATTTGTAAAACAGGAATGAGATTTTATGTATGTCTTTCATTAAACGTTATGTATGAGAAATCTGTGATTTGTTCAGGAGTGTTACTCCGTAACAGTGAACAGGGGTGTGGGTGTTGATGGCCATTACAAGATACACAATGTGTTATAAATTGAGACCACAATGGATCATAATCCAATTATAATTTTATTAATTATAGCAAGTAGAATATGAGCAAAGACAGCGCTGGACGGCAGGGGAGTCTGCGCTCCGCCAACTGCCGTACTGATCAGTTCAAACAGTTCCTTTTTATACATTTTTACATCCGTGGTTGTCTTTGATCAGTACCCCTTCTGCTTGCACAAGTATCTGGTTTGTGTAAGCAATTGCGGTTATCTTATCTCACGCGGTCATCTTGTCTCACAGGTTATCTTGTCTCTCACAAGCGGTGTCTGGCAGCTATTTGCATAAGCAGTTTTTTTGTCTTTTGCCGCCTAACCTTTACATTGAGCTTAACATAAATTTCAATAAACAATACCCTTAGTTCATAGTTTCTTACAATCCCCCCTTTTTCTTTTATCCTATTATTGTTTATTAGATGCTACTTTCATTTTCGTCACTGCAAACAAACCTTTTTCCACAATTCCAACATTTATCATAACACTCTCAAGATAATACCTTACAATTACAATCATAGTTTTCACGTGGCATAACGCATTCACAACAATCTTTTCCACCAGGAAGCTCCTAATAGATCATCCCACCATTCTGAGTCTAACATTGAGGGTGTTTTCAGAGCACCATAGGTAAAACAGCTCTTATTCTATCTGCTATGTGCAGTTGTCGCCTTAATGTTTTTGCCGTGTGTTATTTATTCCTTGCTTTGTTCAGTTAATCCAACAAGTTGTGACCAACATGCAATTTGCTACTACTGTTTCACCTGTTGGCGTTAAGCAAATTCGAGCTGTGTGCCGAACTGCACAGTCAACCGTACTATCAGACACTCTGTAAACAATAATCAACAATTTATTAGCAAACAAGAACCTGAAATAATTAACTGTATAACAATCCAGCAAAGTCCCACGCGACACAATCAGAAAGAGAAAAAGTAAGAACCAAAGATATCAGCACTGTCCTTTGGATGTTGTCCTTCGATGTCTTGTTACCCTTACTCACGGGGCGGTAGCGATAGAAAGACAGAAAGAGTCCAAGAACAACAGTCACGCGCCGCGCGGTAACTCCTCTGATCAATAACATTTTCTTCTTTGAACTATAAGTCTGTTTCCATCACCTCATCAAGGTTTCGAGGGCGTCTTAGTTGTCTTCGTGATCTTGGAGGATTGGGGGGAGGAGGTGATCTCCGACACCAGCCACGAGACATTCCCTCGCATACCGCGATGGCAACGACAGTCACCACCAATATAATGAAAAATCCCAACAGCAGGGCGGCGCACACGGGATCGTCCCCTACTCCCATCTTCCCAAGATTGCAATCCAGCGGGATCAGTAAGATTAGTGGGATAGTCCAGCCCCAGGCTAGCGGCTTGACCGAGGAAGGTCCAAGTGCGCAATGAGCGGAAGTTTCTCTTCCACCCAGAATGCCTGTGCTGCCTAGATCTGGGCGGGCCTGGCAGTTGTTTTTGCCATCCGGGTATAGCCGAACTTTCGAGACCCTCCAACAACACATGCGCTTTGGACTGGGGGCGTGGAAATCCATCTTCCTGCTGTGTATGTGGACCCTGACTCCTGATCCCTACAGACCAGGCAGGTTCGCCACTCCCGCTCTCACTCTTGTACCTCCGATACCGCGAAAACAATGGAGCGTGCTTATGCATGGGCAGCAATTTATTGTGCAGCCTCGATGTTGGTAGCCCTCACTTTGTTTGCCTTTTTTACTACATATCTTTTGCCCTTGTAAATGTTCCTCTTTCAAGTACCCATGTAGTTGTATCTGCTTATGTAAACCACCATCTCCTTTGGTTAACCATGTTGAAAATTCTGTTATAGGTCTTTTCGGCGGTTTTGGTACTGGCTGTTTTACTTCTGTCACATCTTTTACTTGGATTCTCTTCTTCCTACTAAAATATCTCCATCCACCCTTCTGTCTTTGGGAAAGCAAAGCCACTCTCATGTTGGACATAACAGTAAAGCACTTGCTGCACAAATTTGCCACTATTAAAGCAAACCATACCAGGATGATTAGCAGAGGTCCGGTATAACATATACTCCCACCTCTCATGCCTATGGGGTTGCAGCCCACAGCTGAGAAAAAGGTCTTCTTGGTGGCGAGCACAGAGGTTAACCCGGTCTTGCCCTCTACTGTTTAACAAATCCGTGTGTTAAGAGTTAGTCAATTCAAGTGCAGCTCCTTTGTAGCCACTTCCTTTGTTTCTAAGCAAAGCAAAATTTTGGCACTTTCCGATAGTGTCCTCCCATCAACTCTCAGGGACATCACAAATTCTGGGGACTAACCTCTTTTTCCCCGTAAATCAAGGTTACAGTTCATGCCCCTTCCCTATACAGTTATAAGACAATTTTCTCCATCTGCAAGAAATACCACATCCGGTAACACATTTCACATTCACACAAAACCCACGCTTCATGACATCCATACATACACTCGAGACAAGGTATTACCCAATTAGGTTGATTTTCTAGCAATGCCTAATTGACTCCAAAATGCTCATAATCTGTTACCAAAAGCCACTCTGTAACATGTCTGTCAGTTAATGCTTGGTAAACTCCAGCTTTTCCCTGACAGTTTTTTTGTTTGTTTGTTTGTTTTTTTGTTTTTGTTTCCTTATACAGCAAGTAAGTAAATGAATAAGTAAATTTTCACAGTGTTACCTCTGAGCCCAGTTAAAAACCCAGTCAAACCACTGGTTAAGAGTCATTCAATCCCCTCCTGATGAATTTACTTAGTCCTTTGAGGGTGACTTGTAGTTGGTCAGTTGATGGTACCACAGTCCACTCCTGAGGCTTTTCCACCGGTCCTTTTCCTCAGGAGGCAAGAGTCCACCCCTTTTCTTTTGTTCGGATCGCTGTCTCGGTGGTCAGCAGCACCCGAAATGCACCTTCCCACTCGGGAGTTAATGATTAATCTTTCCACACTTTTATCAATACCCAATCACCTGGTTTTACATTGTGGATATTAAAAGCCAATAGTGGTATTTGAGGCAGAAGTCCTTTCTTTCTTAATTTCATTAAAGTGTTACCAATTCTTATTACATACTTTCTTACATATTGATCTCCTACTTCAGGGATGACAATATCCCTGTCATTACTCATACATGGTAATCCAAGCATCATTTCATAGGGAGAAATACCCAGGTCTGTTCGTGGCTGAGTATTGATCCTTAATAAGGCCAATGGCAGGCATTTAATCCAAGACATCTGAGTCTCAATCATTAACTTAGTCAAGGTTTGTTTTGAAGTTTGATTCATTCTTTCTCCTCTTCCAGAACTCCGAGGATGCCATGGGGTGTGCCATGCCCATTCGATCCCTAAGGCTTCAGATAGCTGTTGTATATAATTTTTAAAATTAAATGTGTTCCTCCGCCCAAGTCTATTCTTTCTATTAATCCATATCTGGGGATAATGTTTTCCAGTAACACCTTGGATACCATGCTTGCCATTGCCCTTGGTGTGGGGGATTGCTTCCACCCAATGAGTTAAGTGAGCCACTAATACCAACAAATACTTTCACCCTTGTATTTGAGGTAGCTCTGTTAAGTCTACCTGGAGGCTTTGTATGGCTAGCTCCTATTCCCCAGCCACCCTTTTTTTTTTATCTCATTACCTTTTTGTTCACTTTTTAACAAATCAAACATCGATCAACTAGTTGTTTAGCCACCATATATATATTCCTATACACCCATATTGTCTAAGGAAATGATCACAAAGTGATTGTGTTCCCCAATGTATTTTCTAATGTATTAATGACAGAATTTCTCATGATCTGAATTTCTCATGATCTTGTTTTGTTTAACATCTGCCTTCCATCTGCTAAAGTCCATTTTCCTTCTGAATCTTTTCCCCCCTTATTTTTAAGTATATCCTTTTCTTGTTCTGTGAAATTTGGGGCTAAATTCTCATAATCCCCTGGTATTATTACCAATAAAACTACCAATGATGATTCTGTAGCTGCTTCTCTGGCTACTTAATCTGCTAAATTATTCCCCCTTATTTCCATTGATGCTCCCCTCTGATGTCCTTTCACATGCACAATTGCAATTTCTGTGGGGAGCTTCAGGGCTTCTAAAACTTCTCTGATCAGCCGCTCGTGTACTAGCTCCTTCCCTTTTGTATTTATAAGCCCTCTTTCTTCCCATATTTTTCCAAATGTGTGGACCACTCCAAATGCATACTTTGAGTCTGTGTACACTGTCCCTTCCTTATCTCTCAAATATACCAATGTCTGTTTTAGGGCATAGAGTTCACAGACTTGTGCTGACCACCCAGCAGGTAATTTCCCCTTTTCAAACACTTCCATCTTCTGCCTCTCGATAATTACATAACCCAATATTTTTCCTTCTAGGCATCGAGAGGACCCATCAATAAATAGTTTTTCTCTATAGGGCAAAGGTTTATTTAACAGATCTTCTCTTATTTTCGTTTGATAATTTATAAAATCCAAACAGTTATGCTCTGGTTCCTAAATATCCTCCCCGATTCTCCTCCCATAATTCTAGTAATTTAACCACTAGTTTTCCTTCACCCAGCACCACACCTATTCCTAATTGCACTTGTAAATCTCTACCTAGCAAATTACATCCTACCCCTGGCATTAACAACAAATCATTAACAGCATATTGATCTTCCCCTTGTATTAACACATTCTTTATAACTGGGACCAAAAACCCCTTCACCTTTAGCCCCTACAGCCCAAGTTGTATCTTTTACATAATCTTCCTCCTGGGGTCTTAATTTCAAATTTATCAAGGGCTCTTCTGTTGGTATATCCCCCAGGAGGTAGAGTCCCTGACACCCCTAGTGATTACCACCCTCATCCTGTTGGGTTACTTCAAACACCAACAGGTCCCGTATTCTCTGGGGGCATTCTTGTTTATAATGCCCCCCCTTCCC